GAGCTCTTTGTGCTGCTGAGCCACAGGGATCATTCAAGCAAAAAGCATCCAAAACACAATAAAATACATTATTAATTACCTTAGAGGTGTAGAAATAAAAAAGTAGTGAAACAAATGATTTGTTGCTATGAATTATACCCATCACTACAGCTTTCATAATTTATTTTTAAGACAACATATAAATGGACCACAAAACATTTCAACAGAGCTGCAAAGAAAAGGAAGTGGGATTATACTGCCATCTCCTGGCTGCTTCAGGTATTACACCTGTCACAGTAAAATGTATGGAGTGTGCGGAAATATTAGCCTGGCCCTTGCAGCTCCGCTCAGTTCTAGTTTCCCTTCATTGCTCCGTCTGGGACTTCTCCACTGAGTTGGATTTCGCTGGCAGATTTTTAGCCGGGCCAATCAGAGAGCAGAACGTCAATTTTCTGTGCAGAGGCTCTTGTAGTTTATTTCACCTGGACCAATCAGAGAACAGAAGGAGGAGCTTTGAACGACTAGACTAGACTCCATTAGAGAAACTGCGTGTTTAATACTTCTCACCAAATGAACATGATGCAGGTTTATGAGGCGTAGGAGCCTAAATGCCCTGTTATTTGTTCATTAAAGTTAAAAAGGTTAAAAAATCAGACACACTGATATGGATAAAGCTAAAAGTTCATATTTGTGTGTTTTCAATTATAATTTTTGAAAAGATATTTGATAAGATGACATGTTATTTACATGCATATTTGAATGACTTCAATATGTGACTTTAATTAGCTGGGGGAGGGGGTAGTTAAGAATAGGAGCATATAGACTTAAATAACAACGCTGTTATATGGAATGGAGCCAGACATGGAAGTAGCCTCTCTCTATTTCTCTCTGTTCCTTTTATCTGTTGTTCTTTTATTTATGTTTGGATTTTGTTTTTGTATATTTTGTAATTTTTTATTTATTTTTTTGTTTTTGAGAAAAGCCTCTGTGTCCCACCCATAGAAACTGTCCCCTTCATACATGGTCCAGCATTCCACTTTACTGAATATGCAACATAATCACACATTTCTGTTCGGTATGGACCGCTCGGCGTGGAGCTGAATTCTGGGACCCAGCAGTCTGCACAGGTAGAGGATGTTATACACAGAAAAGGTAACGCTCATGAATGTAATTGTTGGGAAAATCCAACATTCAGGACCTGTCCTGAAACTCTTTTTCACCTGAAAGCGCTTCTCAATATAAGAGCTTCACCATCAACAGTTCAAAAATGGGCACACCGTTGTAAAGGATGACACGTTTGGAGCTACTTTTATGAATTGACTTCATTGACACCTTTGTTTGTTTATCAGTTATTTCTGAAAGTCACCTCAGCATGTGATAGTCTATTAAAGGCCTTTCTGTCAGCAGCAGTATTTAGAAACAGTGGAACAGCAACAATGCCCACATGAAGAGTTATAACATTTATAACCATCATAATGTTCAAATAATAATAGTAGCTACTTGACTGAATGTCAAAATGAATCAGTGATGTTTTATTGCAGACTGATTAAAAAAGTCCAAAACAGAGAGAATCACTGGAACACATTGGTTTCTGATGGGTGTGACCACTGACTGAACAGATAAGACACCAGGCTTAACTAATCCTGGCTGTTAGCCTGGTCTGGAACAGGCAGCTGCACAGAATAAATCACTAACTTTTGCACCACTGTCTTTGTGAAACTGGATCGAGGCTTAATTCAGCCAGGATATCTAAAAAATCCTGGCTTAATCCCCTATCCTGGTTTTATGAAACAGCCCCCTGCTGGAAACTAAATCAAAACCAACAAGCAAAAAAATAAAATAATTCTTATTTTTGTGGTTGAAGTTTATTTATAGTTTCATATTAAAAATTACAATATAACATTTCTAAACAACTTTTACACCCACATTTTTTTTCTATCAAACAACATATGTATACAAAATATTGTAAAACAATGAAAAACCTTCATTAAAAAACAAATAAAATAAAACAAGTTAACTTAATGTAGAAACGTTCCAAAATAAAAAAATGAATCGGACCATGACTTTGATGATTGTCAATTTCCTCGTTTGATGAACGGGTTTTAAAAACTCCTGTGAGAGGGCATGAAAGGGCCACTATGGGCCACATTAAAAGTGCAATCCACTCACTAAATTACCCCGAAACACAGCTCTAAGTGTGTTATGTAGTGAAATGTAGTGGAAGGGGTGAGATAATGAAACTGTGAAATAATTTTTTTTAAATAAGCTGATGAAGGGTTGTTTTCAGCTCAAATCAGCCTTGAAGAATGGAAAACCACTTGTTTAACTTTTCTCTCCGGTGCCTCACAAAACAAACATCACAGAGAGCATAGTGGTCTCGCAGCAGGTGTTCTGTCACAAATATAAAAGTACAATGATAAAATAAAATAAAAAAACTTTAGAGATTAAACGCCATCAGGAGCTTGGATTAAGACATTCAGGTTGTGGCTCTCTGTTCCCAAAAACATGACGTGTAAAAGAAAACAAATATAACTAAGAGTGACGAGAGCTTCACTTAAAGGGTTCTCTGATTCAGATCCAAACAATGCTGACAGGCAGCAATGGTCACCTCACGTCCCATAATCCCTTAAAGACACGTGTACATTAAAAAAAACAAAACAAAAAGAAACACAGATGACACGATATAAACAATGACAAAAAATATTAACACATCACTCGGACACTTTCTTCATGCAGAGATGTTTGTTTTAAAGAAAGCAGGAAGAGAGTGAGGCTCACAGAGGATGATAACAGGGAATGTGTGTGTGTGTGTGTGTGTGTGTGTGTGTGTGTGTGTGTGTGTGTGTGTGTG